AATTGAAGAAGGCATTGTTTAACAATTGACATTGGATGAAGCCAAGCTAAGTGAATCAGTTTGTTTGTATTGCCAAGTCATAAATTGGAAAGGAAAATAAAATATAGATGAAAACAAGGGTAAATTATATTTTTAACCCTTGTTATTTGATTCAAATTTTACTTTAACTCCTATTGACTCAATTTAAACAATTTGGTCCTTACACTTTAAATTAAGTTTGAATTTGGTCCTTCTATTCAAATTGCACATTCAATTTAATGGTTTTGTAGCACGTGTCAATCTTCAAAGGTTCATGATAAACAATTGTAGTTGCAAGAAAATTTAAACACTCAAGAAGAAGTTCTACAAGAACATCATGACAATATTAAAGAAGAAATTTCAGCCGTATACCATAAAGAAAATCAAAACAAATCAAAGTTTCAAGAATGCAACCAAATATAAGAAAATGTTTGTTATGGAAAACATTTTTTAGAATTTTTTTGATTTGTAGAAAATATTTTTCATTGGGAAATGTTTTTCACTGAAACAAACAAAGCATTCATTTATATTAAATAAATTCAATTAAATTTTTTAAAATTGCTAAAGCAAATTAAGTATTCATGTATAATATGTATGGCATATCGTATTATATCATACTTTGTATCATAAAATGCATTTAACTTAAGATAAATATCTCTAAAAATATCAAATTGTAAAATATATATTGTGAATCGTAAGATGCAAACAACACGAGAAAACAAGTATATATAAGATAGATCTCATTTATTTTATGTTGGGTTGAATCCAAAATGAGAAAAGAATATGATAGAGAAAAGAAAAGATTAAACATAAAATGAAAAAGAATATACCTTCACTCACGCTCTTCAAAGTATTCTAGTTAGCATTTTCAGCCAATTGTTTCTGATGCTCTCTTGCTCTTCCTTAATTTTCCTGACAGATTCCTCAAGAGAGGAAGGACAAAAGGCTACCTCAATCATTTGTAAAGTGAGTATATCCCCCAAACCAGATGGCATTTCCTCGAGATTTTTACACCATCCCAACGATAAGTGTTGAAGCCTTGGAAAGTGACTAGAGCAAGTGATCCATTTCTCAACGTCGAGTTCCATTAGTTTCAAGAATTTGAGCCGAGGAAATCCACCATTAGTTGTTTCCATTGCTCTCCCCAAGTAGCATGATTTTCTAATTTGAGAAGCTCAAGGTTGGGTAACAACATCCCAAGGACTGATATCACCTCCCACTATATCCTTGTAGATTTCAAGGTTAGCCTCTTAATATTTGGAGCAAACTTGAACACTTTGAGATTGATTGAGTAATAGACGTACTTATTGTGTAGCGTCAAAGTCTCATGGTGTCTTAAAAATTCTAGATTAGGAAACAGTGAATTCTAGATTAGCAAACTTGAACACTTTGAGATTGATTGAGTAATAGACGTACTTATTGTGTAGCGTCAAAGTCTCATGGTGTCTTAAAAATTCTAGATTAGGAAACAGTGAATTCTAGATTAGCAAACTTGAACACTTTGAGATTGATTGAGTAATAGACGTACTTATTGTGTAGCGTCAAAGTCTCATGGTGTCTTAAAAATTCTAGATTAGGAAACAGTGATTCTCCGGCCTGGTGAGTTTCTCTTTCTCTTTTTCTTTTTTCTCTCTCTCTTTCAAATACTTAGTGTGGAATGTATATAATGAAGAAGCTCTGTAATCTGTAGAGATAAGCTTCTCTCTCTCTCTCTCTCTCTCTCTCTATTTATTAGGGTTTTCACTTTTTTGTGATCCAAATGTGAAGGTTGGTAATTTTTTATCCCCTGTTCTTCAATTCTTTTCCATGAATTGTTTCGTCTCTATAACATGTGATTTATCTCTATATATATCAGTGTGATTGTCTCTAACAGTATATTTTGTTATTAGTTGGTTATATATATCATCTGAATCTATTCTATTCCTTTCCCTTTTCATCTGTTTGGCTAAGAAACTTGTTTCCTTATCCACCATAACTTTGATTCACTTCTCACTGTTAAGGTTTGCCAAGAAATTTCTTGAAACTTGTGTTTTTTGGGTTCATTTCAGTTCACAAAACTTGTTATTAGCTTTAATTGAAACCTCTATTTCTGAGTTAATTTGCTTTTGCTAGTTGGGTTTGTGGTTTCATGAAAGATCAATACTTACAATACATTTGCTATAGTTTGCAAAAGCACTTGTGCTAATAGATGATTACACTTGGGCCCATTTGGCTGGAGGGTTTGTTTTGAAGTTAAGAAGCACAGGTGCGGGTATGGATACAGGTACGGGTACGCCAATACGGCAAATTTTTTAAAAAGTAGGGGATGGGTATGGCTGGGGGTACGCCAATTTTTTTTTTTTTTTAAATTTTAAATTTATAGCTAAACATCCAACATACAAATTAAAGTTCAATAACATAATTAAAAAGATGGCAAAGTTAAATAATAGAGGGGTCATTTTACATTACCTTTTTTTAAAAAAAGATGAGTCCAGAGAAGGCTCTAGACTTGCAAGTTGCATGAAATTCCAATGGCTATAGGGAAAAAATATAAAAAAAATAATATATATATATATATGTATATCAAAAATAAAAAAAAATAAAGGAGAGTTCAAGAAAAAGAAAAAAGAAGAAGGATCAAAGAAAGAGAAAATCAAAGAGGAGAGAATCGAATCAAAAAAAAAAAAAGAGAGGATAGAACATATCAATTTGTTTGCTACGAATAAAGAAGAAAAAAATCTGGAAAAAAAATGAAAGAAAGAGGAAGAAGAATTGAAGAAAAACAAAGGAAAAAAAAATGAAGATCTCTTTGTTTTTCTTTTGCTACCAAGAAAGAGTACAAAAATTTGGAGAAAAAAAATAAAAAAAAGAGGAAGAAGAATTGAAGAAAAACGATGCTTCTTCGTTCTTCGTTTGCTGCGAAGAAACATAACAAAAATCTAGAAAAAAAAATAATGAAAGAATGAATCGAAGAAAAATGATGGAAAGAAAAGAATAAGGCATCTTCGATCTTTGTTTGTTGCGAAGAAAGAGAACAAATATCTGGGGAAAAAAATGAATGAAAGAGGAAGAAGAATCGAAGAAGAAGATTAGGAAGAATCGAAGATGAACTTACCAATATGTGGTCTTTGAAGGAGAGAATCAATTAGCAACTTCAATTAAACCTCTTCAATAGCACCTTCGAAGGAGTTCTTCAGACTCTCTTGGGAGTCTCTGTATTTCTGGAAGGAGATAATCAAATTGGTGGTGTTACGTGCACTAATTACTGTATTAACTAGCGTACCAATATTAGTTATGACATTATTATTGATCAAACTCATTATACAAATTATAAAAATCAAAAACCTCTTAAATTTTTTCACATCATCAATTGATACACTAGTTAGTATACTAATTAGTTTATATAGCATTATTCTAATCAAATAGAACCCTAATTTTAATTTGTTTCATGTTTTATTTATTACAAAAAAACCCCAAATTTACATAATTTTTTAAAATAGACAAAAAAAATTGCTCCAATACCTTTTAATTGTAGAAAATCTCGCTTTTTACCCCGGAATACCCAAAAACATACCCATCAATATACTAATAGTATAAAATGTACCCAATGCATTTTTGGCGTACTCAGTACGCGTGCAGCCGTACTAGTACACGTACTCACACCCGGTAAGTACTCGATACTTGTACAGCAACATTTTTAAAATGCCCGTGTTTCATAGATGTCCAAGTGGGTCAAGAGATTTGGAAACTTCTTCATACTGGTAATTTCAATTTGAACACGTCAAATAACCAAAATTTCATAAAACCATCTCACAAATCACGCAAAATCAGGTAAATGAAAGTTAATATAAAACCAAAGAAATCAAAAATCAAAGAGGCGGCTGTGTTCATCATCAAGGCTTATTGTTTATGGTACCATTGATTGTGTGTATGTGGCATTACTGGGTTCAAAACCAGATTTTGCATTCAAGTCAAGTCTGTTTTCTTATTTCACACTCAAATCAATTTAAAAAATAAAATAATTGTCTTTGAATCTGAGTTGTAATAAAAAAAGCTGTAGAATCTGGGTTGTAATAACAAAATGGTTGATCTGTCAAACAACAAAATGACTACAGTTTTGATTTTTTTTCATCGCTTTCAAGTCTCTACATTTCAGATCTAGGTTGAAACTAGGGGGACGACCAATGAACGGCAACAAGGATGATCGAGGAACTCCCTCCAGTACACTGGCTACACTCCACTTCCTCCTCCGTGGTCGCCTCACCTTGCCTCACTGTCCATCTTCGTCTCTCTGATTTGAGAGCTGAGAGAGAAAAGAAAAGAGGAGAAAAGGAAAAGGAAAAAAAAATGCCAAAACAACGTCATTTGACACCACGGCAGGGAGACCCGCAGGAAACCCCAACAGACAATCCAGACTCATTTGTTAATAGACATGTTAGTACCCAAACTGAGAGAGAGCACTCCAGTTCTTCTACCTGAAAACAACCATAAAGCTGAAAACAATCCTTTTACAAGTGTGAAACTGGCAAAAAGATGAAAACATGCCTCAACTATGTTCCTAAACTCTTTCGGTGGTCATATTTCCTGTTTCATTTCACCTTTGAAGATATTTTGAACTTCTTATTAAGATATTTTGAACTTATTATTTTCTTCCTGATCATGATCTCCAGAATTGTAACCTTTGTGTTTGCTTGTTTTTGGGGACAAAAAAAAAACAGGGACTTCCATGCAAAATGTGTAAGCTACACGTTTCCAGTATCCTCACAGTACATTACAGTTTTGTGCACTGTTTGGATGGCAAGGTAATCATTACAATGAGTTGATCGTATTTCGGACACCTGAAGAACAAATACCCAATACAACAGTCTAGATTGCATACAACTTGCACTATGCATTGATAATTATTTCAGTAACCCAAGAACACCATATGGTATTGCCTACGCAGTATTTCAAATCAATCACAGTGAACAACTAATCGACGAATTCACCTTGAAATTTTGCAGTTGAGTATAATTAGTGGATCCTCTTGTAAAAACTAAATTGCATATATAAAACCAAATTGAAACCATTCCTACATTCACGACTTCATTTATATTTGCCAATTAAGTTCCAGAATAGAGATAACCAATATAACCTAAAGACCTTATTCATCATATTATTTATAAGAGTGACATCAACCAGATAGCAGAAATCCTCTAAGCAGAAGCTTTGGCAACAGCTCCAACTTGAGTAAGCAACGGGACAAGCTTCCCTTCCTTGTGCATGGCCATTGTTTCTGCAAAAACATATAAAAGAAAACATTATTGACCAAGAAATGAAAACAACAATCAAAGGTGAAACAATTGGTAGTCAAGGGATTAAAGCCTTACTATCACAGCCACCAATGTGATTCCCACCAACAAACACATTTGGCACAGTTCGCTGCCCAGTCCACTCAAGCAATGCAGATTGCACGTCATTTCCATCACCTGAAAAGCATGAAGTAGAGAATTGCTTATTGATGCTTGATACATAGAATACAAACACACACACACACACAAGAGACTGCTAGTAATCTGCAGAGTGATAATCTGCAGAGTGATAATACCAGAGTGGTTAGACCAGTTAATAGCAGGCGACTTCCAACATGCACGTTTAGACAAACCAAAAAAATAGAACTTCAATAGAAACATTAATCTCTCCAACTGATAAAACAACACAATAGCTACCTTGCAGATGTGGGTTCAAACACAGGGCATACATTGTGTAAATAATGTCAAATGTTAGACCTGTACCAATCTACCCTTCCCAAACCCCCCATAGAAATCAGAACCCATTTGCCTAATCAAATTGTTTACATATTTTGTCATGGTGATTAGGGAACAGGTATACAGAGGACATCTTTTCCCTAATACAGGACACACGAAAAAATTGTTCCTCTCTCAAGAGAATATTCCATCCCAACAAAACAAGTAGGTTGTAAACCAGAGTAATGGGCTGTTCAAGCTTAATTTGAAACTTCAGGAGCTTCAAAAAATGTGTTTAACCTCAGTTTATTTATAGCTTCAATCAAAGCTGATCACAAACTACATCTTATCAAGCCAAACTTCATAAAATTAACATGTTTCAAAATGTTATTCATATAATGACCTCAAATAAGCATTTAACAACCTGAACATGAGTCTTGGATAAGCTTAGTTTTTTTGACTGCCCCCACATAGTACATACTTTTGATAATCTTTTAGATCATCTCCCATCCTCACTTCTTTTATTTTTCAAACAAAATAAATAAATAAATCAAAACTTCTCCTAAAATTCTGTTTTAACCATTTTTACCAAAGAAAACCATCCCATCCTTGCTATTTTTAAATTTTTATCAAATTTGAGTAAAAATGTGACTGTTGGAAATCTTGTCATCCTTGATTTGGTGAAAAATTGTCTCTCCCCTTATTTGATACGAATTTTATCATATTCTAAATTTGAGTAAAAAGCTTGATTTGATCTGGATTACTCCAATCCTGCCATCAAAATCTTTTTAAAAAATTTCTTATCCCAAATTTCCCTTTTCATATTTTTAAATTTTCATCAAATTCAACATTGAAGAAGGATTTGATAAATTCTCAATTTGATGAAAAAAATAAGTCTTTGTTCATTTGATGAACATTTGATGAACACTTAGCCATATTTTCATCTAATAATAATATGAAAAGAAATAATAAAGTGGAATAAAGAAAAAGAGGACTCACTTTCAGCATCCAACTCAATGGCCTTGTAAGTGGCACCGATATCTGTCAACAGCTTCTTCACGCTCACGCAGAAGGGGCAGTACGATTTGCTGTCGATCCATACACCATACACCCAAATCCATCACTCATCACATCAAATCAATACATATATATACATAGATATATAGAGAGAGAGAGAGAGAGAGAGAGAGAGAGAGAGAGAGAGAAACGACCTGAAGACGACGACTGGATTGGAGGAAACAAGCTCCTTCGCCTTGGGGAGAGCCATTTTCTCTCTCTTCTTCTTCTTCGTTTTGATCTGAAATCAAACCCTAGAAGAGCACTGAACTACAAAAGCACCGATATGGTGTGATACGTATAGTATACTATATAGACGGAGTGAGAGTTGATGTGTGTGGGGATTCTGAGAAATGTGATGATGTGATCATGGACCGTGGGATCGAGAGCAGCCCCACTCAAAGATGCATTAGGCTTTTTTGGGAAGTTGACTTTTAGTCAATTTTTTTTTATTTGTAACAAAACTTAAAAGTTGATTTTTAAAAAAATTTTCTTATTTGGAAAGTTGATTTTTAGTCGATGGTAAAATTATAATTCTATTCTTTATAGATCAAAATATATTACATAAGTGAAATTGTAAATATTTTAAAGTAAATGGAAGTAGTTTGGTCATTTTATTATGATTTGACATTTTAAACAAATATTAATCAAGAAAGTCAAATGTCACTTTTTATCAACTTTTCAAATTATTTATCTAAAAAAATCAAAAACTTGATTAAAAGTCAAAAAAATACTTCTTACCATCTTCTCAAAATATGCCTTAGAAGTTGTTTAGGATGATCTAAATAAGTGTACTTTTTGACATTTTATGAAATATAGATTGGGTTTGAAATGATATGGTAGAGAGGTAATGTGACTTAAATAAGATGGTGTGACTTAAATAGGATAGTGACTTTTTGTCTTTTTTTAGATATGCCAAACTTGACCTTAATATGGTGGGCCGGCTAGTCCATTTTCAGTCCATTTCAACTACAATAAAAGAGTTGTCAGAGATATGTGAAAAAACAAACAGTGGGAAACAATCGTGGCTTAAAATAATCAATAAAATTTGAATGCTCGAAAATTCCAAGGCTCGATTGCTTCGAAATTGAAAACGACGTCGTTTTTTTTTTTTTTTTTTTCTCGAAAAATACCATTGCATTTATTTAAACCATTTTGTGACTATATATATATGAAGCCGTCTCAAAGCAGGGAGAAGGGAGAAGAGAGAGAGAAGAGGGAGGAAGTAAGAAGAGCAACGGTGTGATGGCGTGATGGCGACGACAGGTGTATACACATATACACACAGAGCAATAGCGATGGAACAACCCAGATTTTTAATTATTCTGTAAAATTTATATTAATATTATTTAATCACAGTTAGAAAAATATATAATTTATTTTGTATTATTATGTGTAATTTTGTGAAATAATATAATTATTATGAATTTAGGGGTCAAAGTATAAATAAATAATAATAATAATGAGGGTGATAGTAAAATAATTAATTAATTTTCTGTTGGTATATGATAGAGTGTAATTTAATTATGAATTAATTATGTTTATATAATTATATTAAAATATTAAGTTAAAGTGTAATTATCTTAAATATCTATTAAAGATAAGAATGAATCTTTATAATTGATTATCGAATCTGTTAGGAGATTTGGAGGCACGTATGCACCTATCTCCCTATAAATAGGGAGGCGTTTCACCTGGAGGAGAAAGAAAGAAGAAAGGAAAGGAAAGAAAAGGAAAAGAAAGAGAGAAGGGAAGAAAGAAAGGAAAGGGAAGGAAAAGAAGAGAAAATAATAATAAAAGTTGAGAGAGTCTTTCATAGTGAAAAAAATAATGAGGTATTAAAGTTAATGTGAGTTATATTATATATTATGTCACCATAATATATTTTACGTATATTTTAACTTACCATAGTTTATTTTATACAAGTTATGTTTTATAAATTATTACAAACTATATTAATATTTCAATTTCATGGATTATTTTCTGAATCCTATTTGTTAAAAGGAAATGCATGAATATATTTGTTTATATTTTAAAGAATATTTGACTATAACCTTATAAACAATTATGTTTTGTAAGTACCACCACGGGAGTCCTATACCTTGGGGGACTTAAGTAACTATGTTTGACCACTTTGTGATCATTTGTTTGTCATGGATCCATTGACCTCTGTTTTGTGCGGAGCAAAGTGCTGTACGGAGAAAATTGTTACACTATTGTGGGAGCCACCTCTATAGTCCGTACGAGCCACCTCTTGAGTCTGTACCTTTGTTATGACTGTCACTCTTGTGACCTCTGTTCTGTTCTATTCTATACCGTGGTTATGGTTATTTATTTACATAATTTATGTATTTCAGTTTCTGCTACTTAAATGATTTATTGACCAAACTGAGTTATGTAAATGTTTTGGCCTAATTAACTATCCATGGTTATTTTGTATCCCGTATACTTTTGGTATAATATTTCTCACTCTATCATGTGCTTATAGTTGTTTACAATTTTTAGGAAATAATGCAATTCAGAAATAGTTTTTGAAAAGTCTTAAACGCGGGGCTGCGGCACACAGTACTTTTATGATATTTTTATATGTAAATATTGGCATTTCTGGTCAATTTATTTTGTAATAAAAATAGAAGCTCTAATGATTATTTTAGTACTTTCATTTAAATATTGTTTCCGCTTGCATTTATTAATTTGTTTAAAAATTGGCCGGAGGTAACCTTAGTTACTGGCCATCAAGATGCTTAACCCTTGGGTACGGGGAGCGAGTCATGACAAATGATATCAGAGCAATGGTTTATAAAAAAAAATAATAAAAAAAAAAATCATCATTTGAGCATATGACACACGCACATTTAAGAAGAGAGATAACGGGTAATTAGTCCCTAAATATTATATTTTGTTAGTCGATTTAATTATATTATAATTTTATATGATTATATATATATATATATATATATATATTGTGCATATTTAGTGAAAGATATTAGATATAATTTATATTTGTTATAGCAAAAGAAGGAAAAGAAACAAAAGATGTCGGGCTCAAACACCCACCAAAATTATAATATAATTAAATATATACAATTTTCAGTTCAGTATTAAAAAAAAAAAAATCTTTTCACCTTT